GCCACCGAGCCGGGCCGTGGAAGCCCCCCCCCCCACCGCCCCGCCCCCCACCCCAAGACTTAAGAAGAATCCCGGAACTCCATCTCAGAAGAGAATCTTTGGGTTAGGAAAGATGCCCGGGCTCCGTGCTAGGGTGAACTGCTCCTCCCCTTCGGGTTAGAAGAAGCAGCCCTTTCTCTAAAGCCGTTTTCCTCACTCCTGTGCCTTCCCGATGCTTTGGACTCTAACTACCATCACTCTTGTGATCAATAGTCATGGGGGCTGACCATTGAGAGTAGTTGTCTAACTCATCTGGAGGGCGCTGGGTTGGGGATGGCTGTTTAAAGGATTGCATTCACTTTATTTCCACAGTAGTGCAGCTAGCTCTGGTGACCCCCTGTTCCACTGGGATGATTGCGTTGCCTCTGCTCTTTTTCTCTAAGTGGGAAGAGTCAAGAGGGAGTTCGTGGAGAAGCACTGCTTTGTGGAAAAACAGGCTCCTCACTTCTAAAATTCTGGGGTATGAATGGTAGCCCTTCAGGGCAGACTTCTTTATGGTAGAAAATTGTGCAAGCACAAGAAGGAGGCAGATCTCCTGCCAATGCCAGTCACTGTTATGACTGAAATTTCAAGACAAAGTGAATTCAATTCAGTGATAGAAAATGGGGGAATGGGAAATAATCTATGCTGTGCCCCCAAATCAACTTGGAGGGCAGATCCTCTAAAGTAATTGCAAACATATAATGGGTTGGGTAGATTCTGAAATGCAGCGGTCCTGGCTGCTGAGTGCCTGGTCTAGATATCTGTTTTTTTAAAAAGGTGCCTTGGAATGTGACACTATAGGCAAAGGACAGCTGTCTACTACAACTTCTTGTTGTCTTCCAGATATGTTGGGTCTGCTGGCAATTCTGATAGCTATAGTCCAAAATATATTTCAAATAATTTGCATCTTCCAAGTAATATGAACTATTAAGGTAGATCCCGGACTTTCTTACTGCAAGTGCCTGGGTGTTCAACTGCTGAGCTGTGCCAGCTAATTGCATCTTGCAAAGAACTGGGCAGTAACCATAAATATCTGAGTATCTTTTGGGTGTCTGCAAGAATTTTGGATTCTCAGGATAACTGTGACAGCCTAGCTCTGAAGGTCTAATGTACTCTAGCTTACAGAACAAATTCATCTTCATTCTTTGTCATTAACCCTTTGAGAGCTGGGGTCAGGAAAACAACTGCAAGTAGCTACTTTTCAGCTTAAGTTTTCTTTGGTTTCATTTTAATGTTGTCAATAATCTTGAAAGGTTTGCCTTTGGAAAACAGTTTGGATAGTCTCAGAAACTGACAAGTGAATCACTTTTTCTTAGTATAGTCAATATGCAAGTAAAGCAGGAATACGTTTGAGAGTAAGCAGTTGTTGCTCATTGCCTTTGACAATTTGGGGTTAAGTTCTGCAGTTGAATGTTCCTCATTTAGTTGCCAGAAAGATTCAAGATGGTCATATAATATACACCAGAGAGTCAGCTTTTTCCTAGTATGATCTGGTTTTCCTCCAGAAAAAAAAGCATATTCAGCCAAGAGTCATTGAATAATGTATTATGAGTGATATACATGCATGCATGAATCAGCCCTAAGGATAATTTTGAAAAGTAGATGATGCAGGATTCTAGCATTTCTGCAATACTGCACAAATTGTAGGTCTTGGTTGTTTTCACCTTGGCTATGTCTAACAATTATTGAATTAATTTATGTAGCTTGTTGACTGTCTACATCAGATGAGACTTCTAATGACACCAGTTAGGAAAGTCAAAGTTAAACCAGAAGCCTATGCACAATGCTTACCTGGGTCTAACATATATGACATCTTACAATATGTGCAAGATCAGATGTCATTGGAAGGTGATAGTTTGGGTGAGTGACATTTTTATGTTTGTGTTTTGCCATTTTCATAATGTAGAATCCCATAATTATGCTAAGCATTCATTCTGCTCAGTTATAGGTAGTGAACACTTTTGGACCATAGAAGGTGATAAAAAAATAAGCAAAATAAACCCTCCTTTGAATTGTGTTTGACTCCTGGTGATTTCATGGATACATCTGTGGTTTTCTGGCCTACAAAGTGATTTGCTACTGCTTTCCTCTGGAAGTTTTTCAAACTTCTAAATCTAGCCAACAGATCTGGAAGACCTGATAGTCTCTTCTATCCAAGTACTAACCAGGCCCAAACCTGTTTAGCTTCCATGCCTAGACAAGTTTAACCAGGTGCTGCCACCTGCTGAGGTATACCAGGCAATAGATTTTTAGAAATTCCTTGGATAAGCCTCTTTGAAGCTGGTCTGGTATTTATTAGAATTCTGAAGGGGAATAATGCTTTGTTTTCAGAAAGTTCTCCTCTAGACTGTAATATTTTGCTCTACTATTTTTAAATTAAAATATCCAAGTGTGGGCAGTTGCCTCTCCTAATTTAATGTATTCTATTTGATTTAATATATTTGATTTAGGTGCCACCCGACTTCAGAATGACTCTGGGCGGCTTCCAACATAACAAATAGAATAAAATACAATATGAATAAGGTTAAAAAACAAGTGAAAATAGACAACAAAATGGCAAATCTGGCCAATAATACCGAAAACATATACAGACAAAACCCACAAAGGGCTCCAGCTACCCTAGCCCAGGACCTGGGAGAACAGCCAGGTCTTAAAGGCCCCCTGGAACACCATCAAGATAGGAATCACCCAGATCTCAGAGGGACCCTCATTTTAGAGGGCAGACACCATGACAGAGAAGGTACGCTTTCTGGGTCCTGAAAGATAACATTGTTTAATTGAAGTGACTTGGAATGTGCAAACCCTGTTGGATCATATTAGCTGAATAGACAATTCAAATAACTGGGCCCTATGCCATGCAGGGCTTTATAGGTCATAACTAGCACCTTGAATCACACCTGGAAGCAAACTGGAAATCAGTGCAGCTCATGGAATAGAAGTGTTACATGGGCATACTGAGGCATCCCCATCATTGTCTGCACCTCTGCATTCTGGACCAGTTGAAGCTTCTGAATGGTCTTCACGGGCAGCCCCATGTACAGTGCATTGAAGTAATTGACCTGTGATGTGACTAGTGCATGAGTGACTGTCTGAAGGGCCTTCTGATCCAGGAAAGAGTACAACTGGAACTGTGCAAAGGCCCTCTTCCCAAAGCTGCCACCTGCTCTTAAAGCAGGAGCTGTAAGTCCAAGATGACCTCCAGACTGTACCGCCCTTGAATAGGGAAGTACTACCCTATCCAGGTTAAAAATGGAATCTCCCTGGATCTAGGTGGTCCTAATAATCATTGGTAAGATTGAGCTGGAGACAGTTCTCCTCATCCAGGCACCGGGACAGAACCTTGACAGCTTCACTTGGCTGGCCTTGGGTCAAAAGATATAATTGGGCATCATCAGCATACTGTCGATAGCAAACCCCAAAATGGTAGATCACCTCCCCCAGTGGTTTCATGTAGATGTTGAATGAGGGGGGAGGGTCAAGCCCTGTGGTACCCCACAAAGGAGGAGTCTAGGGAGAAATATCTCTCCCCAGTCCAATCAACACCAACTAGAACTGACTGGGAAAGGAAGGGAGAGAACCACAGTAAGGAAGTGCCTCCAATTTCCAACTCCTGGAGCTGGTCCAGAAGGATACCATGGTTATTGGTATCAAAAACTGCTGGAGTGATCAAGGAGCACAAGGATGGATGCATTACCCACAGATCATCAACAAGTGCAACCAAGGCTGTCTCTTCTAAATTCCAGCCTGAAATCTGACTGAAACAGGTCTAGATAATCTGCTTCCTCCAGAGTTCTCAATGGCTGCAGTGTGACCACCTTTTCAATAACCTTCCTTTTTGTATCTGTTTTGTGTTAAGATGCATTGGACAACATGTTTTTTTTAATGTTCCAAGGAACTTCATATTTGGTGACCCCTAAGCATGGGACATAGCTCAGGAAACATACTCCCTGACTTTGTCCGAGGAGGCTAACTCAGATAAGATGAAGCTTGTATAGGCTAGCCTTATATCCTCTATAAACTTTCCCTATTGCCCCCATGATTGGCAAGAGTCCAATCAAAATATATAAAGGGAGTCTGTCTAGACATTTTGGGTAGGTTCCTTTAACTCAGCCAGGCAAAGTCAGCAGTTACATAATTCTCTTGATTGCAGCAAGGATGTAGAGCAACAGCTCAAGAACTGTACAGTCCTATGAAAGCCAGCCTTTCATTGGAGTGGTAATTTGAGGCTCTCCAGATGTTGCTGAACTGTAGCTCCTAGCATTCCTCACAATTGGCCATACTGGCTATTGCTGCTGGGGGTTGTGACTCAGCAACATCAAGAGAGCCACAGGTTTCCTACCCCCACAGATTTTAGACAGCTTAGTTTGTGTTATGCTTTCATGTCCTTAGAGCAGGAGTAAACAGAGAAAAACACAACCCATTTCTGAAATTTACAGTAGTTATAACTCATTCCTTGTGGATATTAAAATTTTCCCTCTGAACCTCAATCTCTGTGTTTAGAAGAAATATAACCTGTTGATTTCATTGAAACTTACTTCCAAGGAAATATTCTTCATAAGATAAAACCATGGGGTTAGAAAAACAGTTGAGAACTGAAAAGCATTCAGGATAGTATGAATTTAAGAGGTGTAGATTTTATATTGTTTTTGTCTGAAAAATACTTTGGAATTGATTTTTGAGTCACACGCTTTTCATCTTTTCAAATGCCTCACTGAATGACAAAATGGTGTTTATATTCAACTAATATTTTCCATCTTTATACTCCTCTATGCCTTTCAGGACAACTGTCTGTTACAGTATTTTACACCAGAGTATGATTGAATTTATTTATTTATTTATTTATTTATTTATTT